GCCTTTGTCTGCCTCCAGCGCCGTTCGCATCATCCCTAGTTTAGCCGGCGCCGTATCATGGAGCTGAGCCAGCCGATCTCCCTGTCCGACCACGACGAGCCGGCGTCTGGGCCCCAGCGCGGGGTCAAGGGGCTGGTGGGGCCCGACGCTCCTCGCGGCTGGTCAGATGAGCCCGAGGAACACGCCCAGCTTCAACGGTGGCCAGAGGGACCCAACCCGCCAATCTGCTGGCCCGAAGAGGTAGAGGAGCCTGACGCTCCTAGCCGCTGGGTCAAAGAGCCCAGCGCCCCTCGCTGCTGGTCCCAGGAGCCCGACGTATCCTGCCACTTGGCCAAGGAGCCGGAGGAACCTGACGCCCCTCGCTGCTGGTCCCAGGAGCCCGACGTATCCTACCACTTGGCCAAGGAGCCGGAGGAACCTGACGCCCCTCGCTGCTGGTCCCAGGAGCCCGACGTATCCTGCCACTTGGCCAAGGAGCTGGAGGAACCTGACGCCCCTCGCTGCTGGTCCCAGGAGCCCGACGTATCCTGCCACTTGGCCAAGGGGCTGGAGGAACCCGACGTATCCTGCCACTTGGCCAAGGGGCTGGAGGAACCCGACGTATCCTACCACTTGGCCAGGGGGCTGGAGGAACCCGACGCCCCTCGCTACTGGCCCCAGGAGCCCGACGTACCGTGCCTCTTGGCCAAAGAGTGGGAGGAATCCGACGCCCCTCGCTGCTGGCCTCAGGAGCCAGACGCATCCTGCCACTTGGCCAAGGATCTGGAAGAACCCGAAGCCCCTCACTGCTGGCCCCAGGAGCCAGACGCAAAGTGCCACTTGGCCAAGGAGCTGGAAGAACCCGACTCCCCTCGCTGCTGGCCCCAGGAGCCCGACGTACGGTGTCTCTTGGCCAAAGAGTGGGAGGAATCCGACTCACCGAGCCTCTTGGCAGAGGAACTGGAAGAGCCTGACGCCCTTCACTGCTGGCCCCGGGAGCCCGACGCGCCGTGCTTCTTTACCGAGGAACTGGAAAAGCCTGACGCCCCTCACTGCTGTTCCCAGGAGGCGAACACCGGGTGCTTCTTGGCCAAGGAGCCAGAGGAGTCTGACGCCCCTCACCTGTGGCCGGGGGAGCTCGACGTACCGTGCCTCTTGGTCAAGGAACCGGAGGAGCCCGATGCCCCTCGCTGCTGGCCCGAGGAGCTGAAGGAGCCCGATGCACCCAGCGCACCGTGTTTCTGGGGCAATGAACCAGAGGAGCCTGACGCATCTCGCTGTTGGTCTGAGGAGCCCCCGGTGCTGTGCCTCTGGCCAGAGGAGCAGAATGCAACGGGCTGCTGGCAGGAGGAGCCCGATGCACCCTGCTTCTGGCCGGAGGACCGAGAGGAACCCAAAGTTCCGTGTCTCCAGTTCAAAGAGCCAGAGAAGCCCAAAGTCCCTTGCAGCTGGCCGGAGGAACTGGAAGGCTGCTGCCCTACGCTGGGCCTACCCCTAGAGCCTTTAGCCTCCGAGGGCGAACTGCTGCAGGCATGTCCCGGGCCACCCTCGGACCCAGGCCCGGCGTTGTCGCTGTCCAGCGAGCCTGGGACAGCCCAGGAGGAGGGTGCGCGCCTCAGGACGGTGTTCGACGCCCTGGACAGTGATGGGGATGGGTTCGTCCGCATCGAGGATTTCATCCAGTTCGCCACTGTCTACGGGGCGGAGCAGGTAACAAACTAACTATGGTTCTGGCCCGGAGAGGTGTTTCCGATTTCTGTTTAGGGTCGTTTTCCGGAATCCCTTCTTCCCTCTTAGAGGAAGGTATACCCACGAGTCAAGTGTCCCCTCCTCTAGCGTTCCACTTGCTACTTATTCCCTAGATCCGGGAGTGGGAAACCCTCTTCAGGGCCTCGCTTCTGCCACCCATGTTTAGGACATCAGAGGCCAGACTTGTAGATGTCTCTTGAGCAGAGTTAGTTTACTTTATGTGTTTCCCATTTGTTGTACTAGGTTTTGTTTGAGAGACAGTGCAATTAGAGGCTAGAAGGACCTAGGAATTAAAAATGGCTGGAGATGTAGATCAGTGGAAAAAGCATTTGCTTCATGCTCGTGGCCTGGAGCTCAGTCCTTTGTATCACATGAAGGATTTCTGCTCTACAATAAAACAGCACAACCAGTAAGCACAAAATAAATCTTAAGCTGGGCATGATGGTGCATGCTTGTAGTCCCAGCATTTGGGAGGCTGAGACAGGATTGCTGCAGGTTCAAGACCAGCTTAGTCTACATAGTGAGCTCAAGACCAACTTGGGCTACAGAGTGAGACCCAGTGTGTTTCAACACACACACACACACACGCACACGCACACGCACACGCACGCATGCACACAGTAGAGTACACAAGAGTTCTGCATCATGATCAAGAAAAGGAAGGGAAGGAGCCCAGGAGTTTCATGGCAGGCCCCAGATCTAGCAGAGCCATCAGGGCCCCCACGCTTACAGGGCAGGTGAGATGGATTGAAAGATAACAGAGGCACAATTCACGTGCAAGGGTCCCACACGTCTACTGCCAGCCCCTGGGGAAGCCGGCTCCGAGGCCAAGTCCTTGTCCCCTTCAGCACTTAATTGTTTGGGCTGAAGATGCCAGCAGGGCTGTCTGCTCTGCCTGTAACCCAGCAGACGTCAGCTAGGTTATGTGTTCCTCTTTATTTATTGGTTGGAAGTCTCTGAAAAGACATCAACTAGGTTACAGGTCCCCCTTGGTTTGCTTACTTCCTGGTTGGAAGTCTCAAGGATTTTCATCTGTTCATTTTCATGCTATTCCTTCTTCACACATGCAAACATTTGTTAAGTGGGTGTTCAAGTACATTTGCATGTTTGAGCTTAACGGGCTTTAAGAAAGGGGATAAAAATAAGCTGGGTGTGGTGGCACACACATCTGTAGTCCTTGCTTCCAGCACTCAGGAGACTGAGGCAGGAGGATGTCTAAATCGAGGTCAACCTGGATAGTAGCAAGACTGTCTCCAAAAACCAAGGGGAAAAAAGAGCAAATTGATATATTTCTCTTAGTCATGATGTTAAAACCTCTCTATTTGTAACATCCGAAGTGCAGATGGAAAGAACTGGGCCCTGGTTAACTCAGGGCCCTCTACTAAGCTGACACCTGGGGCCAGCCAGCTTCCGGGAGGCTTTTTACCATGAGCCCTCTTGCTGGCCTCTATCCATAGAGCTTAGTTCTTGTAGTCCGTTCCTCGTTCCTGGCCCGGAGAGGTCTTTCCAGTGCTTGGCAGTTGTTTACTGCGGTGTGTCTTCCCTTTAACTTACGCTTGCCTCTAGATCCAGTCCTACTGAGTAGGCTGTGCCAGGCCGGAGCCGCATTGGCCCTTTAGCATGACTTGGCTCTGCTATCATGTGTTTACCATATCATTGCTCTAGTCCTCTGGGGTGGTAATTAGACAAGCAGGGTTTCACCCTTATTTTACAGGTAGAAAGCTAGAAGCTGGGAAAGTCTGAGGAGCTTCCCTAGGCCTCACTGCTTGCTGGAACGGTATCGGAGAGTTTCTTATTTTAGCTCTTAACCCATAGATGACTGTAGATATAATGGCTCAGAGTATTTCTACCAAATTTCAGTTCAGTGAATTGCATAAAATTCTCTTTGAGAAATGTCTTTGGTCATCACTTCCCCAACTTGATTACTTTGGGGAAAACTTGGCGACACCTCTTGCCCCTCGCCTTAACCCTCCTCCTCAAAGGGCCTCCCCATGTAATTCTGGCTGCCCTGGAACTCGCTGTGTAGACCAGCCTGACCTCAAACTCCTAGAGGCCCACCTGCCTCTGCTGGGATCAAAGGCGTGCGCCACCAATCCCACATTCTTGAGCACAGACTAGAAATGGGTCAGAATTCTTTGCTCTGACAGCTCCTGATGGAATTTGCAGTTTGGGAAGCCCTGATGGCCAAGGATTTGTTGGCATAGAGAGTGGAGGGAAATCTCCTAGGTCCTTTTCTTTTTTTAGCAGCTCAGGAGGAAGAGATGTTGTGTTGACTTAGCCTCCTGGGGTTGTGGAGGGGACTTCTTGGCTTTCTGTGAGTGGTCTTACTGTTTGGAGCAGATAACACACAAAGGAAAGCAAGTTAATCTTTATGTTGGTAGCCCTCATGACTCAGACATACATTATAGAGGAGCAAAGACAGGAATATTAACCACTAGTGCAGAAGTGTAGAGAAAAGCGAAGCATTCCCACAATCTATGTATTTTGAAATTTTTAAGATGAAAAAAACCTTGAATATCCACAGTAGAGAGAGCTGGTGAGTGCTGTCTCTAGAGCTCTCTCTCATGTCCCAGGAGTTTCAGGATTCAACTCATCCTTCCACTTCCTTTTAAAAGATTTTATAACTTATTTATGTGTCTGTGTGAGACATACATGCAGGTGTCTGCGAAGCTGGAGTTACAGGAGGCTGTGAGCCACCGAGTCTCTGGAAAAGCAGCAAGGCCTTAATCCCTGAGCGTCTCTCCACCCGGACACTTTTCTCTTCTTTTCTTTCTTTCTCTGGTTTGGTTTTTTTGAAACAGGGTTTCTCTGTGTAGTTTTGGTGCCTGTCCTGGATCTCTCTTTGTAGACCAAGCTGGCCTCAAACTCACAGAGATCAGCTTGGCTCTGCCTCCCAAGTGCTGAGATTAAAGGTATGTGCCACCACCTCCTGGCCCCTCTACTTTTTCAAGCAGATTCCTGATGCTTTGTAGGCTTTATCTGTAAATGATTCTGTATTTATCTAAAAAATAAGGATTTTTGTTTGTTTGGTTGGTTGTTTTTTGTGAGACAGGATCTTACTCTGTAGCCTTGACTGGCCTGGAATTCACAGAGATTTATCTGTCGCTGCTTCTCAGGTGCTGGGATTAAGGCACTTGCTTCCATGCCTAACCTAAGCTAAGGGTTTTTTCTTTCCTACATTTTTTTTGGGTGTGAAGGTCAGAGGACAACTTTCAGGAGTTTGGTCATCTCCTTTCTGTGTTGTTAGGCTTGGCAGGAAACACCTTGACCTACCCAACTATCTCACTACCCGATTTCTATTTTTTAAATTTAATTTGTTTTGAGTCAGGGTCTCAGTGGTGAGGAGGGTGACCTTGAGCTCCTAAACCATCTGCCTCCATCTCCCAAGTGCTGGGATCACAGGTGTGAGCCACTGCAGTGGGTTCCAGTGTCTTTTCTGTAATCTGTTTATGTAGGTAGTGTTTTCAATTATTAAGCAGGTTGTCTGAATTTTTAATAGGAGCACTCGCATTTATAATAGAGATGGCTGTCATGTCCTTCTCTGTCATGGTGTGTGTGGCTCTGGTTACCTCACCTGGTGGCAGATCAGGTGTGTTGTAATACCATCCAGAGTCATTCACAGGAGTCTGACGGGGGAAGGAGGAAGGAGGGGCATGGTAGAATGTCAAGCTTCATCTTTTTTTTTCTTTTCTTTTTTTCCTTTTCCTTTCTTCTTTTTATTTTAGGGTCTCAGGTATCCTAGACTCACCTTCAGCTGGCTTTGTAGTGGAAGATAATCTTGAACTTCTGATCCTCCTGCCTCCTCCATCTCCTGAGTGCTGGGATTGTAGGTGTGTGCCATCACACCTAGTTTTATGGGGTGCGTGCTGGGTGTTGAACCCAAGGCTTCTGAATTGTGAGAAGGGATTGGCCCCTGTTTTTTCTTTTTTTTTTCTCTCTTTTTTTGTTGTTGTGTTGTTTTTTGTTTGTTTGTTTGTTTGTTTGTTTGTTTTTTCGAGACAGGGTTTCTCTGTGTAGCTTTGCACCTTTTCTGGAACTCACTCTGTAGCCCAGGCTGGCCTCAAACTCACAGAGATCTTCCTGGCTCTGCTTTCGAGTGCTGGGATTAAAGGCACGGGCCACCACCGCCTGGCTTTTTCTTTTGGTTTTTTTTTTTTTTTTGGTTTTTCGAGACAGGGTTTCTCTGTGTAGCTTTGCGCCTTTTCCTAGAACTCACTTGGTAG